GTGTGCCGGCTGGAGCCCCTTGGCCACTTAGCTCACCCGTGTCTTGACTATGCAAATGTCTGCAGCCAAGGAGCGTCGCAGGCTTACTCAACCTCAAGAAATAATATATTTATTGTAATAGTAGGAATTCAGTACATACTCATGGTTTCTTACAAGAAATGATAAACAAAAGATTCTGCACGTAGCAGAGTGACAGCCATGTGGTATTTACCCAGTAAAAGACTCGGGATTATGACCATGACGGTATTAGCATGGAAGCTGACTTTTACAGTCCCTCTGCAACCAGAGAGGAAGCTGCCCAGCCTTCAGTTTGTTCAGACAGTGTGCAAAGATGACGCAATTGCACCTGGATCCACCAGGTGTTTAAGGGAGAATTTGCAGCTGCCTAGAGCCAAGCATAGGGAAGGGAGTTCAGTGGGCAGGTAGCCTGCTCTCAGGTGGAAGGAAATGGGTCAAGGACAAGAAGAGAGAGGTGGCACCCCCAGAAACAGCCTCCTTTTTCTCCTTCCTATGCTGCTTCTCCCTCCTACAACTTCAGAACACCTCCACCCTGACAAGCTTGAACCACCTTAAAGAGTCAGAACCACTACCCTGATGTGTTAACACATCTGAATCACATTCTCCTGGCTTACAGAAAACAGGTGCTGATAAACTATTCACATGATCCTGTCTGGCATAGAGCAACCTGTGGTTTGTTGTCACGCATTCATTTATTAAACAGACATGTCCCGAGGGCCCTTCCTGTGCCAGGCACTGTCTGGGAGCTGGGAGCCGGGAGATGACCTCAAGAGACAGAATCCCTGTTGTCTCAGAGCTGACAATCTGGTGTGATGGCTCAAATGACCATATCACCATATCCCTCATGAATGCAGATGCAAACAATCCTTGACAAAATATTAACCGATTGAGGGGCGCCTGGGTGGCTCAGTCATTAAGCATCTGCCTTCGGCTCAGGTCATGATCCCAGGGTCCTGGGATGGAGCCCCTCGTCGGGCTCCCTGCTCAGCGGGAAGCCTGCTTCTCCCTCTCCCTCTGCCTCTCCCCGCCCCCCACCCGTGCTCGCTTGCTCTCTCAAATAAAAAAATAAATAAAATCTTAAAATATTAACATATTGAATCCAGTAATACATTCTTAAAAACCCATGACCAAGTGGGTTTTACCCCAGGGACACAAAGTTGATTTACCACTAGAAATATTATTCAGTGGAATCACCATATTAATATTCTAAAAGAGAAAAATGACATGAGCAAATGTATCTGTGCAAAAAAGCCATTTGACAAAACACAACACTCATTTGTGATGAAAACTAGGTGAAAACTAGGAAAATATGTAAACACCTTCAGTCTGACGAAGAGCATCTCTGAAAACTCCACAGCCATCATCCCGCCTAAGGATGAAAAATAGAATGCTTTTCCCAACTAAGATCAGGAAGGGGACAAATGTGCTCACTTTAGCTCTTACCTCATCCCACATATAAAAATTAACTCGAAAGGGATCAGACCTAACTGTAAGACTTAAACCTTCTCTGGGATGGGGGCTGGTCACCAGAGACACCAAGCCAAGACCAGATGCTTGGGACCTCAGGGAGAGGCGAGGGGCTGGAAATGGATCAATGATCGATCATGCCTACGGGAGGAAGCCTCCATAAAATCCCAAAAGCACGGGATTCAGGGAGCTTCCGAGTTAGTGAACACATCCACGTGTACTGGGAGGGTAACACACCCCAACTCCCTGGGGACAGAAGTTCCTGCGCTCGAGAGCCCCCCTGGACCTCACCCTATGTATCTCTTCCTCTGGCTGTTCGTCTGTGGCCTTTATCATATCCTCTAATAAACTGGCAAGCATAGATGTTTCCCTGAGTTCTGTGAGCCCCTCTAGCAGATTAATCGAACCCGAGGAGGGAGGTCATGGGAACTCCAGCATGGAGCCAAATCAGACAGAAGCTGTGGGTTACCTGGGGATGCCCTACTTGCAGCTGAAGGGCAGGGCGGTCTCGTGGGACGGAGCCCTTGACCTGTGGGATCTGATGCTGTCTCCAGGTAGATGGTGTCGGGATGGAGTTAAACCGTAGGACACCCAGCTGGTGTCACAGAGCATTGCTCTGTGTGTGTGTGTGTAGTGGGGGGACCCGGAAGTGTCAGAAGTGAAGTGTTCTATGTGAAGGTAAAGGAGAGACATGCAGGAGGTGGAAAACTGACTTTTTCTAACACACCATCTATAGAATATTCTTCTGTCTGTGGACATTTCCAGTCCCAACCCTTGAGTCACAAGCCAAAGATGAAGTCATAAGCACTGGGAAGTTTTACAAGATTAACACACGTACCGACAAATCCCATTTGCATGTAGGCACATCCTTGTTTGCCCAGAATCTGCACTTACCTATGAACATACAAAGGCTGTTTATCTGCGGTTTGGGCTCTGCTCCCTGGGAACTGACTGTTTGCCTCCGAGAAATAGTGAGTGACTTGCACTAATTGCTCACTTATATTTCAACCCAGGGTCAACAAAAATCACCCAGTCTCCTCGGCACACCCCCCTGACTTCCGTTTCGAGAGGCTCTACAGACTCTGGGTCCACGGTGCACCTGAATCTCAGGGGGGGTGCCTCCTCGAGTCTCCACTGACACCCCGTGGGGCCTGCACAGCGCCCGGTTTGGCGTGCACCTCAGGGCGGGCTGGGGGGCCATCACCGAGGATGCTCGGCACATGTTAATAAGGGCTGACCGATGGAGCCCATCCTTTCCCTGCACCAACACCACTCGGAAGGAGGCGTGCAAAGCTCAGAAACTTGGCGTCCAAGTCCTGGGGGTGTGGCACTGCCCTATGATGTTACCAGCCGTAAATGGGCAAATGCCCTCCAGGTGTGAGTGGACTTGGCTGCCATGAGAGGGAATGCCGTCTTGGGAGCTCGGAAGAGCACTCCAAGTTCACCCAGCAGATGAAAGAAGCCACAGGCCCAGCTCTTCTCTGACACATTTGTCAAGACTCATTTCGGCGATGCCTCCTCTCAGGGTCGCTTCCGATTCTGATGTCAAATGCCCACTGTCCTGGCCGCGGTTCTCCCGAGAAACAAGCAGTAGGCCCCGGAGAGCTTGCTTCCTCCCACACCCTCTGCCTACCCACCCCGTGAGGACACAGCGAGGCTGGAGGGCCTCACCGGGAGCTGGACTTCCCGGCCCTCAGGACTGGGAGGAATATGTTTCTGTGGTTTAAGCTGCCCCGTGTGTGGTGATTCTGTTACACTGGTCCGAGCAGACGAAGATCCCACGGAGACCAGACCTAGACAGAGCAGGCAAACTTTATGTGGCCTAAAATGCAGAGCTTCCTGGGTTCCCATCCCAGAAGGACCCCCAGAAGTTACTGTGGGCAGGCTGAGACCAGGGCTACTCAACCCGGAGCCTGCAGAGGGGCTCAGGACCGTGGGACTCCGCGACTTTGCACTTAGGGCTTTCTGTGTAATTTTCTGAGATGATCTGTAGCTTGTGTTAGCTTCGCAGAGGGGCCTGTGGCTCACAAGTGGTTAGAACCGCTCTCCTGGTGCAGACACACCAGCTCTTGTCAGACATGGACTTCCCTCTGCCCCCTGTGAAAAAATGACAGTTATGACGTCGAGAGGGCCAGGAGGGCCGAGGCATCAGGATCAGTGTTCTCAGCAGGGAGCGGTATCTCTACCCCATTCAGAAAACAAAGGGTTGGGGCGCCTGGGTGGCTCAGTCGTTAAGCGTCTGCCTTCGGCTCAGGTCATGATCCTGGAGTCCCGGGATCGAGTCCCGCATCTGGCTCCCTGCTCGGCGGGGAGTCTGCTTCTCCCTCTGACCCTCCCCCCCCTTCATGTGCACGCGCTCTCTCTCTTTCTCTCTTTCAAATAAATAAATAAAATCTTTAAAAAAAAATAAAAATAAAAGGGGAAGTACAGGCTACAGACTGTAGGATTCCCACTGCATGATGTTCTGGGAGAGGCAGAGCTATGGCGACAGCAGAAGTCAGCGGCTGTGGGGCCCCAGCAGGGAGGGAGAAACAGGTGCAGTACGAAGGATGTTCAGGGCAGTGAGACTCTTCTGTGGGACACTGTCATGATGCACACACGTGATCATGTCTGTCCACCCGAGTGTACAACGCCAGGTGAACCGAACGCATGCTGTGGACTCTGGGTGCTGCTGTGTCAGCCTGGACGCATCCGTTGTGACACATGGACCCTCTGGCAGGGGAGGCTGTGCAGATCAGGGGCAGGAGGCAAACAGGAAATCTCTGTACCTTCCCCTCCGTATTACTGCAACCCAAAACCGCTCTAAAACATGAAATCTGTTAATATCAGTACAAAGCAGGACAAGTATAAAGCAGGACTGAGCCACAGGAAGTTGTGCCTCTCACTCTGAGCTTCCTGGCAGCCAGGATGAAGAGCGAAACAGACAACGGCTCCCAGAGAACCAGGAACGCTGGTTTCTCTGAGATGCTGCTTGCAGGGGGCCGTGGCACACAGATTTCCAAAATGCTACATGCTCTGGACACCTGCAGAAATCAATAAGGCCTGCAGGAAGAATCACCGTTGGCCAAGTGACCCAAACCGGCAAGCAGCAAGGATGGGAACTCGCTGTTGTTTCCGGGACAGGCCCGGGCTCGTCCGTCTCCCCGTGTTCTGGGGCGTCTTCCCTGCTTTTGAGGGCTAGCTCACTCCGACTCCTCCCCGGCGCTCCGCGGGCTCACCTGGAGCTGGAGGTACTGAAATCCCACCAGCAGAAGACACGTTTCTCAATCTTAGCTCAAAGCTGGAGGTTTGCCGTTCGTTTCTTCTTCACACACAAGGGGCGACGAGGAAGCTGCTTTTTGCTGTGCTCTCCTTCACAGAGGGCAGAACCTCCTCCCCGCTCCCAGTTTATATCCTTGCTGGGCCGCAGAGAGAGGGGCGAGCCACGGCCCAGCCCGCGCATGCCCACTGAGCAGGACCTCCCTGCTCCGAGGTCGCCCCGGGGAGGAAAGGAGGCCACACACAGACAGCAGGGGTGCTTTGGGCAGATCTGGAGTTTATTTGCTGCAGTCCCTTGGTGCTAGTTTACAATGCAAAAAAACCAAACGAACAAAAAACAGTTGGAATAATAATTATAATTTTTTTTAAAACCCTGTCAACAACTTTCAGTCATTTCTTTATATTTTATATTTTGACAAAACTTTTTTTTAAACAAATACAAAATAATCTAAAAGGAGAAAAACTATACATGGATTATTTACACCTCCGATAAATAGACGAATACTGACGCAGGTGCCTCTCTGTGTAGTATTTGTGAGAACCAGTGCAGGGCACGCGGCCGGCGGTGGGGCCCCGACGGGCCCAGACCTCCCCCCCGGCCCCTTACGAACTCCGGCACGAACACGCCTGAAGTCACTCGAGGGAGGACCGGTGTGAAGGGGACCCCCTGAAGGTCCCCCCGCCTGCACCCCCAATCACGCCCTTGCACGAACGCCATCTGCAGAGATGCCCGCCTGCCCTAACGGAGTCGGAGGAGCTGGGCCCCCGCTGCCCGAGAAGACCGGCGGCTCTTCGCCTTCTTCCGTGGGGCCACGTGGGGGCGCCGGGGTGGCCCGGGCCGGGCCCTGCTCTGCGGCAGGAGCGGCCCGAGAGTCCCTGAGAGAAGAGCAGGAGGACGCTGCATTCCGCGGCTCCCTTCACACCAGGAGTTGGGAGGGCGAGGCCAGCGCGCACGCAGGCCCGCGGCGCAGGGAAGGACGCAAGGCCGCTCTTGTCCGCCTGGCGCTCCGCCTGCCCCTGCCGGGCAGATGAAGGCCCCCACCCGCCCCGAAATGGGCGACAGTAGTCCAGGTCGGGGCCCGAGTCGAGGCGGAAAAAGCTGAAGACCTAAGGTGATCAGTAAGACCTGCTCCTTCCTCTAAAACGAGGACTGCAGCTCTGGGGGAGGAGGAAGAACCATGTAAGGAACAGGCCGCCCCGAAGCGCGGTGGGGACTGCCCTCCTCACAGTTTTGGTTCCGGGGTCCTTAGCTCAAGGGAAAATGCTGACTTTGCAGTTTAAAGCCCGACAAGGAGGAACTCTGGAAGAGAAAAACAGTGACCGTCCAGCGATTCTCTTCTCCCCTCCGCTCCCCCGGCACTTGGAATGGAGAAGCGGCGGCTGCTGCCGGCCCGCCCGTCCCACCACCTGCGCCCTCGGGCTGCTGAGAAGCCGGCTCCCACCAGTGGGCCGGGGCCGGGGCCGGGGGGGTGGGGGGGTGGGGGTGGGGGGGACCCTCGGCGGCCGCCCTGGGAGCCTCCACCCCGGACCAGGCAGAACGCCTCGGAACGGCTCTACTTTATCTTTTTCTCTCTTTAAAAAACAAAAATATATCTTTATAGTACGTGGCTTCTCTTCCATTCCACTTTTTCCTTAACATAGAATAATATATCGATAGGTGTATTTACGGTGCAGGGTTGAAGGCTTCTTCACAGGGAAATAACCAAGAGGTAAACGGCTGGCTTCGAGCTCTGCTATTAGACCTGCTGAACGGGAGACTTGCAAGGAGGCTGCTGTGCTGACGGGGGCTCTGTTCCCTCTCCCCCGTGCGAACTCCTACCCTTCTCCCACTTAAAAACAAATAGCAAAGCTGAAGCCAGTCTCTAGGAATTCAGGGTGACGCCCAGCAGGGGACACCCCTGCTCGGCAGCCCGCCGCCCATCCGTGGGGGAGGATAGGAGGAAGGACCCAGGGCCTCGCCGGCGCCGCTCGCTGGGCAGACTCAGTGTCTCTTCGTGGAGGAGACCTTCTTCTTCCTTGCGGCCAGCATCTCGTAGAAAGGGTCCCTGCTGATGGCTGCTCTAGACACACGGAGGGGAGAAAACAGAACAGACTGAGGAATGGGCCCAGGAGACAGCCCGGGCAGGCGCTTGCCGGCGGCACCTGGGCCCCCTGCCCCCGCCCCCGGCACGGCAAAGGCCAAGTCAGTGCGTCAGTATTCACCATGTCCACGCATGACTTAAGGGACAAGCGTCAAAAGAGCCGCATGGTATGTATGACAAGATAATTCTGTTTCTACCTGATAGTGGATTTAGGTTTAGGAAGAGAGTATTACACACTCTTATCATATTCTAGCCCAGAAAGACAAATGTGCTACTTCGATCCACAATGACAGCGAGCGCCACACAATCCGTGGCACCCAGCGCTCTGACAGCCGCCACGGTCTGTAACCACGCAAGCTCTGAGTCCCGCGTGCGTGCCGACTCAATGACCAAGACCACACGCGGGCCGTTCACGCTGTCGCGGGGCCTTGGGGCGCGGCCGGCCAGGCCTGCTCTATGTCCAAGGCCCAGCAGGGAGGGAGCCTGCATGTGCCCTGGCACTCCCCCAGGGACCCCAGCATGGGACGGTGACAGCAGGGCCACCCCCGTGCACCTGTCCTTCCCAACCGCCCAGCACATGGTGCCGTGAGCGCGCTGAAGCTCTTCCAGAGCGGCCACACTCGAAGTGCCCGCGAGTCTCCAACGCTTGCCCGAGAGCCCAGCCGACCACTGGCTCTGCGCCTGACCAGGGGAATGACAGGCCCTGCAAACACACCAGGGCCTATTCACCAGAGGTGACATGTCCCCGAGAAGCGTCTCCACAGCTCCTTGGGGCAGCCAGAACCGACAGTCCCTGGCACCTGTCCCAAGGGGACCTTGCCACAAAGGCCTCAGTTTCAGCGCCGAGAGTCAAGGATGCTGAAGCGGAGCGCTGCATGGCCGTCAGGAGTGCGTCTTGCGGAGTCACAAGGCTCAGGTGTGAAGACCAGCAGCACCTCTGTGGCTCTGGACAGTTTAATTCGCTTTGCTGTACCTCAGTGTCCTCATCTGTAAAATGGGGATGACCGTGCTTCCCAGGCTGTGGTAAAGGGTGAGGAGACGGTACCCGAAGCGCATAAACAGTGTGCGAATTCTGCCCGGTGACGAGGCCGCACCGGGGCCCAGCGAGGACCGAAGCCAGCCCAGGGGCGGCCAGTGCGCACCCTCACTCAAGGACTGGACGACCCCAAGGGCGACTTTCAAGAACGCCCAGTGGTTCTGGCTGTAGGAGTACAGACCACATGAAAGACAAAACGCAGGCAAAACCACAGAACGGTGCGTGGGGAAGGCTGTGCACGGCCACGTGCCCCTCCAGGGAGACACAGCGGGGCCCAGACGGGACCCTGCGCGCACACAAGTGTGCAGGAACTGGAGAGCATGCCTGGGACTGGTTAACCAGGTATCACGACAACCAGCTATTCACCCGACAGAAGAAATTACATCCCTTCCTTCAAACCATACGCAAAAAATACATTTCATAAGGACAAAAGAGTTAAGTGTTTTTTTAAAAAAACATATGGTAAAAGAAGAGTGCAGGACACGTGGATGAGGGTCACTTGCTGGCCGGGGTGCCCAGGGCACGGCCACTCCTCCGCCCAGCCCTCAGTGGAAGGCTTGAAAGTTTTCATTTAAATTCCTTAGTTACCACACGGTGTAATATTAGCTTCCGTGTACAACAGAGTGAGTGAGTCAGCGCTTCCCACGAGTCATGCGTGCCGGGCTCCGGAGTCTCATTACTGGTACTGACTCCAGGGACACTGTGCAGCCTCGTCCATGGGATGAGGGTCAGAGGGCTCACATCGAGGATGGGAGCTACCAGGGTCACCACATGACCATGTCTCACCCCAAACGTCCCGGGAGCTATCCCCATCACACCGAAGGGGCAGGAGGAGTGCCAGTCTCCAACGAGGCCGAGGGTCTGGCAGGAGGGAACTCAGCACCAGGAGGCCTCACCCCAAACCCACGTGCTCCTGCCCAACCCGACTCTTCCAGGTAGGACTTCCAAGCAGACTCCCATGGAGTCCATCACGTGTCTTTGTTCAGTCATCATCTGTTTGCCGTTTAACCCCGGCCAGACCCTGCACTGGCTTCAGCAGCGATACCAAAACACACCCCAAACTTGAGTGCTCCCCCTCGGGAGCAGGCTGGGGCTGGGGCGGGAGCACGCCCGTCATGGGGGGATGCAGGGCCGCAGGGCCTCAGATCACCGGGTCAGGGCGGCCTCCCTGGCCTCTGGGGAAGTCACGCGCTCTCAGAACAAACTGCCACCGAGACAAGCAGCCAGGCCATGCCCGTGGGTCGCGATGGCCATCTGGACAGGCTCTGGGAAGTCCCGGGGCGGAGACGGGGGACAGCTCTAGCCCGTCATCACCCTTGCACTGTGCCGCTCAGCCGAGCAGGAGGAGCCGAGCCCTGGGTCTGCGGCTCCGCCTACACCCGTGGAAGCCTGAGAACCCTCTTCCCCCCTCTCAGACCCGCAGCCTCCCCAAAGCACAGCGGTCAATGGTGGGGGTCTATCATGTGACCCTGGAGCACAGCCATGTGACTCTGGGCAGTTTCCTCACCTGTAAATGGGACGAGTGTCCCCGGAAATGATAAAACATTAGGATTACTATCTCCGCCAAGCTGCCGTCCTGACCACGAGGCCTGCTTCCTAAGACGTGGGCTGACCAGGTGAACAGACGGCACCTGTGGCTGGAAGGCACCCGCCCCCCCCCCCGCCCCCCGGGGCCGCCAGGAGCACTCCAGGAAGCCTAGACCCGAGGCGCTCTCATAAGTGTGCGGTCACGGTCACGCATCTAAGGATCCACCAAAAAGTGGTCTGGCAATTCCAGGCAGACTGCCCTGAGGATCTCAGGCAGGAGCCCTGGAGAGGGGCGGGTGGCGCACCCAAGAGCTGAAACAGTCCCTGAGAGGTGAGAGCCCTCGTCGGGTGAAAGCACGCCACATCTCAAACGCCACCTACTTGATGCATTTAATCCACTCCTCCTTCTCCTCAGGCGTCGGGGCTGAGATCCGGTACACGGTGTGGTTCCCCTCCACGACCCGCCCATCAGCCTCTGTCTTGCAGGCCTTGATCACTTGGTCTTTATTGTCAGGAATATAAAGCTCAAAGCAGTTCTGAGAACCACAAAAGAGAGGGAGAGGGTGTCAAAGATCTGAGAAAGCTGCCGACCAAGAACGAAAAATGTTAGTTTCTTCCTTAAAAGACTCTTCCTTCTGACCCCCACGAAGCACAGGCAGTATGCGGAGGAGCCTCGCGGTGGAGCTGTGGAGAATGCAGCGGGGTGTCGTAAGCCTGGTTAGCAAAGACGGCAGCAGGGGCACGTCAGCGCCACTCCCAACAACGCGCCAGAAGCACGGAGCACCGAAGGTCACTCGGACGCCTTCTGGAGCCCAGCCCGCAGCACCGGCATATTCCGAACAAAGGGGAGGTATCTGTAAGGAGCCCGAAGGCCCTAACACGAGCAGTCCAGTCATAGCGCTTGCTGCGGCTTTTTAAGGAGGGACAATTCCATCCCTCGTGGGACTGTACACGTGACACAGAAGCACCTGTCATTTACAGCCTCATCTCTGGCTTCAACATGATCGTTTTAAAATCAGGCGTGACACTACTTTTCAGTTTTAAGTAAATCTTGGCAATTTCAGTCGTTTTCAAAGAACTGCTACACCCCTCCCTTCCGTCCTCTCCCGTACCCCACATACTTACTGGCTTTTTGGAGTCCTCTACCTCCCGGATACTCAGATTCTCTAAAGGGATAATCCCACGGGGCTCCTTGTCCTGCAGAACAGTTGCAGACAGAAAGACCTCACCGCGGGGTCAGGAGCACGTGGCCCACCGCGTTCCTCACCCACATGTCACCCGGGCCCTTCTGCTCTTCTCCCCTGACCTCGAGCTCACAAATCAGCTCTAGGGCCCACACCCTAGGTTCTAAAATCAGAAGAGGCCCAGGAAGTGTATGGGTACACGAATCCCTGTAACTGGGGGCCTCTGCAAGGAGGATGCCCAGGGCAGCCTCGGCGCCTGTCCTGAAAGAGGGGATGGGTGTGTCCCAGAAGAGCCCACAGGAGGCCCTCCAGCAGGGAGCACAGCAGCCTCTCCCACACAGAAAACCACCTCGCTTCTCTGCCCGGCTCCCGTACGCATCTCTTCGGCCTCTGTTCCAGGGTTGGCAACCTCCCGCCCCGTCGTCCCCCTGTCCAGTGTGTGTGTGTCTGTCTGTCTGTCTGTCTTCATTACCTCCTGCCCCATCGTCCCCCTGTCCAGTGTGTGTGTGTGTGTCTGTCTTCATTACCTCCTGCCCCATCGTCCCCCTGTCCAGTGTGTGTGTGTGTCTGTCTGTCTGTCTTCATTACCTCCTGCCCCATCGTCCCCCTGTCCAGAACAGAGCAGAGCAGACCTGCCATACCCTCGCCCCCATGGCTCTCCTCCAGCACTTCCCATCCCAGCAAAGGCCACCACACACACGCACCTCACACCTCCCTCTCCGGGACATCCAGCCACACAACAGCCCAAGACTTCGTTCCAAGGCCACCAGGGTAGCTGGGCTAAGCCTCGGCACCACACTCCCTACGACCAATGTTCCTGCAGCACTGTGCTCTCTCCATTTGCAGATGCAGGTTCCTCTTCTTTTCGGGGAATAGTCCCGTAATCGATGGTATCTTTGAACACGCGGCTGCGGATACTCCAGTCCTGGGATCATCTTTCTCTGCCCTCCACAACTGGTTACCTCTCCCCTAATCGTTTTCACATTTGTCTTTTTCAGATGCGATCTCTGTGACTGTTCCAAACCTTTCCTCTACGACGGTGATTTTATCCTGGGGTAATCTGTTCCACTCCTTACAGTTTTCACTTATTATTACATAAGTCATACATCAGTTACAGTCCACATACATCACACTTGTGTTCTGGCCCCTTCCAAGGTCTCAGGAGAGAGCGGCGAGTGGAGGGCAGGGCTGGCTCAGACACCTGCCGCGCTCGGGCTCTCTGCTGGGACCGCAGCCGTCCTGCATGGGGGTGGGTGGGCTGCTCACGGGCGCACCCCCTGTGGACAGCTCTCCCACTGAGTTCACAGCTCGGAGCCCTCACTGCCGCTGCAGGAAATGAGGCCCACTTTCTCACTTTCCCGCTTCACCAGTTCCTACCCAGCGGCAGACTTTACCGCTCGCTGACAGGAAGAGGGCAAAAGTCCTACTCTGTTAGTGTCTCCTGGACTCAGGGCAGTGGGGAGGTGGTGGGGCTCCATGGGGCAGGGCTCCCCTCCGCTCGGCACCCCCAGGCCGTAGCCTCTGTCCCTGCTTCCAGTGGCTGCGCTGCACAGAGGCAGTGGTCGCTCTTCCTTCCCCGGCTGCCAGCCCCCTCCTCCTGCCCCTGGATTTCCCGCACTGTTAGGTGCTTCTGCGTGGAAGCTCTGCCTACCGTCCTAACTCTGGGGCCCCCCGTGTCGGCAGAGACACATTCTCTGATGTCTGTGGCCCAAGACAATGCTGCTGAAGGGAGTGTGGGATTCAGGCGATGCCACCACAGTCAGCATCGGGAAGAACCACGGCATTCTGGAATTGCACACGTCACCACTGAGCCCACTCCCGAACTTAGGGCATATTGCTTAGATGCCTGTGTATGTTTCGTTTTAACCCAAAGAAGAGTGAAAAAAATCCCAAGGAGACTTTAAAGATGCCACCAGTCTAGATATCTTTGAGAAAAAGGCAAACTATGGGCCGGGCGGGGGTGGGAGGGGACAGAAAGGAACGTACTCGGCTGTTGACAGTGGCACTCTGGGGGCGAACGGTAGGAAAATTACTGAGTGTCATAATGAGCAGCCTGCGGCAGCGAGTAATCCCCACTCCCTGCGTGAGAGGCTACATCCGCACGGCGTCCGAGACAACGGAGCGCCACGGAGGACGGCCGCCTCGCCCAGGCACGTGCCGGTGCCCTGGTTCCTACCTCGCCCAGGCACGTGCCGGTGCCCTGGTTCCTACCTCGCCCAGGCACGTGCCGGTGCCCTGGTTCCTACCTCGCCCAGGCACGTGCCGGTGCCCTGGTTCCTACCTAGGCTAGCGCCCCGGCCTCGCACTTATCAACCACGTCCTACCACGCTCTACACTCGTCAGACACGGTCCTTCCGCGTCTCCACGGTCTCAGTAGGATCTGTGACTTTTACTCAGTGAAGACCTGAGCCCCACGCTGCCGAGCCCAACGGAGACACGAGAAAGGATCAAGTGACAGGTGGGCAGCCAGTGTGAAGCCGGCCGGCCGGGCCTGCTGGGCGCTGCCCCAGAGGGAGCTTCGATAAAGGTCTTACTTTATCAGTTTTATTCTCACAGGTGCTTATTATGAAAGAGACTTACATGTAACACCTATCTGTGGTGTGACTCCATTCCCACTGAAAACCAACAGGACTTGTAGGGTTGAAGAAAACTTCAAACTCTGGGTAATTCCCAACTTCCTCCATTTCATTTAACTTCCTTCTCCTCTATTACGTCTTTCACCCCTGGGCTGCTTCTCCCGAATCCAGAAAACCGGAATGCTCCACATGGTGATTTTCATCCCCCTTTCAAGGGGTCACAGACTGTCTTGGCGCCTGACCCACGTTCACTCTTTCCGGCCCGGCTCTAAACCCCACCTCTAACGCCGTGTGTAACGCCAGGCTGCCGCCTTCTCCTGGCCAGGCTTCTCTCGCCCCGGTCCAGAGCTGGATGGCGGCTGCCAGCCACCATGCCTTTGGCAGGACGCCCACGTCATCTTCAGGGCCCCCGACTCTGGGGTCTGTTCTAGCTCCTCCTGTTCACCTCAAGTCTCTTCCCAGCCCTCCCCGGGGCCTCCTCTAAGCACATCGGACTGGAGTCGTGCAGACACGGGGGCCTGGCCCACCCTCAGTCCCACAGTGGACCAGCAGATGCTCACCGTTGTATATTCAAAGTAGTAAAGGCAGTTGTCAGTCAGAATAAACCAGCGTCTTTTCCAAGTCTTGACCCTGCCACCTGCAGAGCAAACAGAGATGCATGTCGGACAGGAGCCAACCGGTCCGTGCAGGCTCCGTAACGCAGAACCCTCCCTCAGAGAGCACGAGGGGCAGGGCACCCAGAGAACACTGAGACCATGGCAGAGTTTACATCAGTAACAAGACACAGAGCCCAAACAGAAGCACCTTTCACAGAGTGAAGGTCCGTGGTACAAGCCGAGCAAGCAAGTCAGGCGGCACCTGGAGATGAGCTGAGGACAGCGGGATGAGAGCATATGGCGTGGGGGGAGGCACCCCGGGCAACAAGGACACGCAATGCACACCTGACCGGGCTGGAGCGGTACCAGCAGTAGCTGCTGCTGTGGTGGGAGTGGGCCAACGGAAGAAGAAGAGGGGAGAGGGGCAGCCCCGGTCCCAGCTGCACTGTGAGGGCGCCCAGCCCAGGGCACATACATATGCAGGGCTTCATCAGACATGTTAACCCCTTCACAATCAGATCTAGAGTTTTCCTGGAATGTGGAACCCAAACCCCTGTGGTTTCCCCCTCTACCCCACCTTCCTGCTTATAGTGCATTTCTATACTGGCTTTCAGGCCCTGGGCCAGTGTCCTACAAATGAAATTTCCCCAGAGTCCTGGATGAGACAAGGTGGAGTTCCTGCACAGGGGAGGAACCCACAAGTGAGCAGAAGAGCTCAGGAGCCTTTCCAAGCCTGGACTTCTCACCTGAGCTCTGAACACAATGAGCTATGGGAGGGGTCGCGGGCCAAAGGAGCATGGACAGTGGTGGCTGTGAGCCCCGAAGGGCCCCACCACCTCCCTGGTGAAGCAGCAATGCTGGGGCAGTGAAGCTATGCTTGGAAGGACATCGGGGAGGGAGGCTTGGCTGTGGGCTGTTTCAGTGAAGCCACCTCCCGCCCCCTGCACGGCCGTGAGCCGAACCTTGTCTTCGTCTGCTTACATCGGGGCAAGGGGCAGCTTTCTGAATGTGAACCACACAGAAGTCATGCAAAGGCCTTCCCATGTTACGATATGCCTGCCATTTTCTACGCACTTCTTACTACCTCGACAGTATATGTTCTTCTTGCTAAGACTTAAACCTCCAGGGATTATCACTTGTCCGGTCTTCACCATGGGGTGCAGAGCTGGTATGACCTTAGTCATGCTTTCTCTCTCGTCCCTCAGCACAGGCAGCTGAGCCGAGAGCTCGGGCGTGCTGCCACGTGCTCACGCCGGGTCTCCTGACGGGACGCCATGGCTGGAGCACTGCACATAACATTACGGAGAGGGCGCACCCAGCACTGGTCCCAGCATCGAGCAGAAGGCTGGTTGGACTTTCCGGTCCCTTTTATGGCTCTGTGTGGGGGCCTGAAGTCTCGGGGAGGTTAAGTGGTCGATCATGAATTGCACAGACCTAGGGTACAGAGGCCTTTGCCGCCAGCATGCACCTGCTGCCCACCCGCAGAGGCCCTGTGCTAGGACTGCCCCCACCAGCAGCAATTTGTCGGTTTATGTGAGCATGTGCCTCTGGTCCCTAAGGCCCTAGGGCATGAATTAAGAAAAAAACCACAGATGGAAATATGACATGCAAGTAGAAAATGGGAAAGCCTGGGCAGGATCAAAACAAATGAGGAAGAAAAAGAGGACTATATTTAGAACCGGAGCCAATATGTTATGGAAAGGAACCCCCCGCCCCCCCTTCAGAGCCTGGAGAAATCAGCTCTTCTACCTCTTGGGCCTTCATCTCCACGCAGGGCTCGGTACACAGGACACCTCAACCCATGCTGACTCCCATGCGCTCCCCCCCACCACAGGACCACCCGGGGGCCCCTGGGGCTTAGGAGGTCATGGAGGAGGGGTCAGACGCGAAAAAGAAGAAGGTGGAAGGAAATCTCGGAGGAAAAGCAAAGCTGGAAAGATCCCCTCCCTGATTACAAAAGCTTGGTGACTCCCCCTGACAACTGGCTGTGTTACAGGGACCTCTGCCGTGAGAGGCATCACGGCGGTCCGGGGGGGGCATTTCCATGTTGAAAGAAACAGACATGAAACAAGCAGACAGACCAATGCGCGCACCTAGGACAGTCCCTGTGGAACTCACAGGACACCCCCCACCCCCGATGCGAAGGCCAGGCGCCAGCTTCCCCAGCACCGCCAAGTCCCCAGAACGTGCTAACGACTGTGAGCACTGGGGCTCTTCTCTGCGTGCGGCTCTGCTCAAGTAACGCTGCAGCACACACCTGAGGAGTTCCTCCTCTAGGAACACGTAACCCCCAAATCAGCAAATGGACAGGAGATACCAACAACATAACTAAGAGGCCAATTTTGGGTTTTTAACAATATTCACTGAAAAAGAGGAGGGAATAAAACAAAACAGAACATGGAATACGGAGCTGAGGTCGTAATGCCCTCCCCTAATACCCAGGACTTCTGGGGTGGGCTTTTGGTCTTTGTCTCCCCACCTCCCCGCCAAACTCGGCATCCTTTGAGTTTAGGGGATGCCACTTCCCCGCTTCATGCAAAGGCAAATGTCCCAAGCTGTCTCATTTACTTCTTGTCCTGGCGTGCTTTCTGAGCAGGGCATATTAGAAGCACGTGGCGCTGGGAAGTCAGACCCTCCTTCTCTTCCTCCTCTTCAGAAATTACTGTAATTCACAGCTGTGGTCAATTTGAATGCAACACGTACAGAATATGCCTGGCCAATCTTTCCAAGAGAAAATTCAGTGAATACTTTCTCTGTTTTTATAAACCCACTCTTAGTATGTTTTCTTGCGTTACCGCATTCAGTGAAGTTTAAATTACCCCACGGCCTGGTGCCTAGCTGTCTGATGCACTACGCACTAGTCCTAAAGGGAAACATGGACCCCTGATCCTGACCAGTTCCCTAGGGACTGTACAATAAGTTAGAAGCAGCAGTAACACTACCACCAGCAATTAAAAAACAAAATAACCAAAAATAACAAAATAAGAAAACGCTGCAGCAAGTACAGTGGCCTTGGCAGAGCGAGCGAGCAGGTTGGGGGGATTACATACCTCCTGGAGTTTGGGGCAAGGAAAAGGAGAGCCAAAATCATGGAAACATACAAATGAGGGAGAAAAGAAAATTAAAACAAAGAAATTAAACCAAACTCCTTAATCTTAAAGTGCAACGTATTAGTCATTCACATCTGCCCTGGGGAAGCCAAACATAAAATCACTAAGCGGGGCGAACGCCACTGTATGGCATGTGAATGGGGGAGCCCCGTTTCACCTGCCACACACCACCTGGTGAAGGCGGGCTCTGCGGCACTCCCGAAAACCTGGCCCCAAATATGCCGCAGATCCATGCTCACAAAGCTAATGTTTATTGGTCTATCCAGAATCCAGAGCTAAGAGAGGAAAATTTGGGGGGAAAATTTAATGTCTTTCTGCAGATGGCTGTCACTTTTTAAGGTGTGTGTAAGAATTCACACACATATTCCCATGAATACATACGTACACATGTGTGCACACGAGAATACACATTCTTACGGCTATATGCATACACGGACATACACACACAACTGCAGATGGCTGGAAGCCTGCCTTCTGCAGCACGTAAGTACACAGGGGTGATCCTAAGTGGCTACAATGAAAACACAGTATGAAGAGTTAGGGGTTTGGAGGAGCTTTAGAAAAGGTAATGCAATGACCTAAAAACAAGTCCCACATTTTGTTAATTTTTTTTTCCTTTTAAAAATATGGGATGCCTCATGAATTTACATGTCATCCTGGTACAAGAGCCAAGATAATCTCTGCACTGTTCTAATTTTAGCATCTGGGCTGTCAAAGCTAACACTCAGCATTAGCATTTAAACAAATTTCACTGGAGGGGAAGTAAATCTAAACTTCGATGTACTTTTTAAATTTCCAGTGGTTTTCCTTTCAGCTCGATCCATCTGGCAGGAAAGGTGCAGGGCAGGCTGGCTGGCTCTGGGGTTAGCAATTTTAGAACCTTCACTTCAAGGATTCTACTGGCTTAAAGGCCTGAGAAATGCTGACCATCTCAAGAGCTAAGTCAAAACTCCCATTGGGGAAGTGGTGCTTTCAGAATTCATGAATTAAGTCATTATATATAAACACGAGGACTTGGGATATGCTTTTTAAAGGACATATAAATCCTACTGCTACCTGAACTCATCAGAAATTAAAACAGACTCCATTTCAGCACTTCTCAGAGGCTTCAGTCATCGCCAAGAGAGGAATGACTTCTAATTTCACCAGGCCTAGTAGCCGAAATGGTAGAGGGGGCATCATTCTAACGAGCACCTCCTGGTGATGAGGGAATCAAAAGGCAAGGCCGAAGAAAAGAGAGGAATGTATCCTCTCAGGGCCAAAAAAGTGCTCATTATGTCCAGGGGCTCTCTCAGTGTTCTGGAACAATTAATGAAATAATCACATCCGGGCACAAATGTCATGAAAACCCTACTTTTCCTCTTGGTTACTCTATCACCTCCAGGAATGACCACAAATCTCAGCAACATAACCTCACTTTTGGCCGAGGGAAGAGGAATATTTTAAAAAAATTTTTCTGAATGAACAAAATCATTAAAGTGGCTGATCTGGACTGGAAAGCAGGTTGGGCGGGGCGGGGTGGGGGACCACTGCCCGAGAATGAGTAAGAGCGCTGTGGGTCGCATTGCAGCCAAGGGCTCAGGTTTGCCATGCATTCTGCCTGTGGGGAGCCAGATGCAGCAGGAAGTGATGATGCACTGGGGTGTGGGGGAGGCGGGAGCACCAGATACAAATCTGTGTGATGGGAAGTAGAGAGATGGACACGGCTGGCCACCCTCCCCGGGACGGAGAGGGCGGAGAAAGGAAAGGGACCAGGTTCTTCGGGAACTGCCTTGAAACAAAACCTGGCCAATCAATTCCAGAGTAAAAAAGTGGAGCGCAAACCCATGGGAGCAGTGTTTATGCAGAGCGAATCTGTACCCAACACTATCTCTATATCCCAAGGGGGCACTGACTGTGCATTTACTCCCTTTCCGGAGATGGATCTCGTGAGAACACTAGCAGTTCATACCAAAGTCTCTCCATAGTGCCTCCTGTAACCAACCCCCACTCTCCCGCAGTGCATGTACGTGCGAGTGCGTGCACACATCCTTTCTTTCTCAGTTTCTGTGCCAGGAGCCCTAACCCAGAGTGCATTACTTACCAAGTTTCAATAACCAGCCTTCCCGGTCTGGGTTGAAGAAAGTGTGAGTGAGGTCATTCCCATCATCTTCTGGGATTTTAAAGGGTTCGTTTTTTATGCTCTCATACAGATTCTGGGATAAAAGATGACATTGCATGTCTCTGGTTCTAGAAATATCTCTTCTCCCTCCCCCTTTCTCTTCATTCATTCAATAAGCATCGGTTATGTGCCATGCATTTGTCAGGCACTGCGAAGAGAAGAACATGACCAGTTCTGCCTTCAGGCAGCTCTCAGAGACAAAATAAATAAGGCACCTAATGGATAATTAAGAAAGAAAAGAAAGCAGCCTGACTTGCACTCACGCTTTTAGTTTCAGACTTAGAAGCCACTTTCCCCTCCTGATTCCCTCGCTGGGCCTCACTACCAATTTCTTAATGGAAGTCACACAGTTAAATGAGTTTTATGAGCAGACACTCGGTGGAGCATATGTCTCTCTCCTGCCTCGAGTTCACCATCTCCTGGCTTAGAGCGAGCTCACCCGGAGCAGCTCCTCAGGCAGGTCTCCCCCATCGTTGATGCCGCGATTCATGGCGATGAACCTCTCCACGGTGGGCTTATCTTTGACATTGGGGTTGTGCAGGCTGGTGTTCAACATGATGATGGCAAACGAGAGGACGTAACAAGTGTCTGAAGAGAAAAGCGCAAAGAGGATCAGAAGCCTCCCCCAGAAGGACCAAGAAACGTCTGACGACATCCAGACTAAAAGCCATGCTCTCAAAAGGAGGAGGCAAATCCACAGGTCTGGGTGCCCTCCAAATGAAAGCTATATACTGCAAACTAAAAAGAGCAAGGCACAAAGAAGTGCATCAAGTGTTCAAAACTTAAGGCTGATTATATTTCAGATTGCAAAGGAGACCACAGACACCCACACCCCAATCTGAAAAACAACACAACGTATAAAAAAGAAAATACAAAATACCTATAATCCCACTACCTGGTAACAACTTACTTTGCTTTACTACACAAATGTGCAGCACATCACAAATGTAGCTCACAGATGCATATTCTTAACAAAATTGGAATCAAAACAGATACATAGTTTTGAATCCTGCTTTTCTGCTGACCTTATTAGCATTTTTCCCATGTCAATAAAGCCTCTTTTTTAAACACATTTTTATTTTTTAAATTCTTTCACAAAATTGGAATATGGCAGACACACAAGTGTGTGCGCGTGCATTGTACATAACTCCGCGCTCCCCGCCGTAAGTGTGCTCAGCACCCGCCACCACGCAGCGTGACTACAGCAATTATTAACTGCTCCTAAGCTGTACTTGCCAAACTTCCACTTGCAAGGTAAGTGAGCCACAGAGACAAAGAGCATGACTTTTAATAGGTGCACATTGCCTACGTCTCAGCTACTCCAACTTACGTTCCCACCCCCTTATTCCTACTCCCTGGACTTCTGGAACATTCCCGACCTTTTACTATCATAGCTACCATTTAACTCAATGTTCTTGGCATGAACCTAGGCCCTGTTGTTTTGGAAACTACCTAGTGCCCAGAAAGACTCGTGTGAAAGGCTGGCCGTCAGCGGGGCATGCGGCCGCCCTACCTGTGGACTGGAACACCCCAATATTACACTGGCAATAGCGCTGGGCAAACGCTTCCATCATCCGGTCAATCTTCTGGGCCTCCCCTGGCAGCCGGAAGCTCCACAGGAACTGCCTAAGTAATGAGGACAGGCGTGTCACTGGGCTGGGGCTCGGAGGCACCACTCACTCCTCCGGGAACAGGTGCTACACTTCCGTGGGTTTTAATACAAAAGGGCAAAAGGGGACCCACTGGCATGGGGCTTCTCATCCCGCAGCTCTGCACAGGTGCAAGCTTACAGTTCTACATCACGGTTCTCTTAGTCAAAGGCAAAGTTTTAAGAAAACGTGAAAAATTAAGATTGTCCCATATAAGAGAATGGTTCTCCTCAGATGAATACACAAGACTGAAATAGAAATAATGCTCAGGTTAATGAGCTCCCATCTCCAGAAAACAAGATGAGGTGGCCGAAAAAGAGAAAATTTTTCTATCAGAAGATTCACAATCGATCCCTTTAAGTCAAAGAGAGACCCACGGCCAGTAGGTCTCACTGCGCTTTACTTTCATCTATATCCAAACAGCAGCACACAAGTTGATGCTGTTGACACCCCCAGCAGCGAGGCCACCGAGGAGCAGTGTCTCAAAAGATTTAGTAAAAACGGGGGCACCTGGACGGCTCAGCTGGTTGGGCATCTTGGTTTTGGCTCATGGTCACAAGATGGAGTCCCAGCTAGGGCTCCACGCTCAGTGCAGGGTCTGCTTGGGGTTGGTTCTCATTCCCCCCCCACCACCCCTCCCCTGCCTTTGCACGTGTGTGTGCGTGAGTGTGCACTCTCTCTCAAATAAATAAATCTTGAAAAAAGAAAAGATTTAATAAAAAATGAAAATTTACTCTCCTTCTGAGATGAAGTGAACAGCTACTGACTTCCTATTCTAGGGCAGGGGATTAAAGGGCCTTCTAAACTGGAAATTAGAAAAAATTGCAAAATTTAAACATTCACCAATTTCCCAATGAAATTTCCCAAATGAAATACATGAAGAAGAGTTTTGCAAAATTTGCCTTCAGGATGCGGTGTCATTCTGTTCTCCTTAACCATCCAACCCTCCCGGTCACAGGCTCTTCAGGATGTCCAACAGAGCCCCCAAAATATCCTTTCACCAAAAAGCCACAGAGGACAGGGGCGCCTGGGTGGCTCAGTTGGTTGAGCGCCTGCCTTCAGCTCAGGTCATGATCTCAGGGTCCTGGGATCGAGTCCC